TCCACGGATTATTTAAACCAAGTTAAAGTTATGGATTTACAAATTGGCGAAATACTAGAGTCTGTTAAACAAGCAGGTCGGATTTTGTGATTCTTAGATAGTCTGTGAAGAATGTGGTTTTTTGTTGTAGGTTTATGCAATTAAGAAAAGAGAAAGTTGGCAAGTTAATTAGACTTGATTGGTATAAGTCGGATTTGTTAAAATCTGATTTTAGCGACAGAGTTAGAGTTTCATCATAATTGTAGTATAAACTGTAGTTGTGTAGGTCGTTGCATTTGATTTCTATTCTTTCGTAGTAATCACGATTAATCAAGCTTTTTCGTTCGTTTTCAATGAATTTTATTAAATTTTTAACGTTAGATTCATATTGATGAGCACCGATAGCTAGTAGGAATAAAAAAGACGAACCGAATTATCTGAATATCCAGATATCTGTTAAATTTAAATAGGAAACGGCATCCCTAGATAGGGTAACCGTCACATCATTTGTAGATCCGTTACAATTCATAAAATTTTTTGTGTTGTTAAACGAAAATCCAGAAATCTAAAAATAGGTCGCTTATGAATTTTATAAATGATCTATCTTGAGATTTTCGCGCCGTATTTAATAAGATCGGTTGAATTAGCTATCTGTACTTAGTTGTAGCCCAACAATAAATGGATTTTTAAATTTCTACCCATAAATGTAAACCCCCTCCGATAATTTATAATATAATTTAGATGATATTTATTTTTTTTGGTAAATTGAACATTCCAATATATAAAGAGAAAGGCAAAAAATTATTGTGGGGGCTGATGCTGAAATCGGCTGATGCTGAAAATTTTTCATAGTTTATTATTAAATTGTAAAATTTTTTAGGACCTTTTTTGTGGTCTTTTTTTTCATAGTTAGGTTAGGGTTAGGGAGTAGTATTTATTAATAAAAAAGTATATGTGAATTTTAGTAGGTTTTATAGATTCAAAAAGAGACCCCAATTTTCAGCATCAGCCGATTTCAGCATCAGCCCCCCACAAATTATTAATATCAGCAGCTATGAATAAAAACACATTAATTTGGATCAAATTAATTGGGATGATACTGTAACATTAATATTTTTTTAATAACTCCTTTTGTGCTTTGTTTGGGTATAATAATTCACATGCAGGAAATAATGACTTTATGATAATTATCCTACAATTTTGGGGAAAAATATGAAATAAAATACATAGTTACTGGCCTATAGTCTTTAACAGAACACAACAATAAACTACTTTATAAAATATTTAATTGGTTAAAACAGATGTCAAGGAAAAAAATTTGTATAGTTCATAATTAACAAGAAATATAAGGAGATATAGCATCAGAATATTTAGGAACTTCTATTCCTAATGCCTCAAGAATTATTACTGCGCAATCCATATTAAACAATTTACCATTTTCTCTTCCACTTGTAATATCAGAATTTGAGTTAGCCTCTGTAAAATAAACAGCCATAAAATACTTCCATCTCTTCCGGGGTACCTCCTCCATGCTTTTTTCTTTACCCCCATGATTGGTTACCATTATTATCAAAGTATCATCCCACCACCCTGCTTGTTTAACAGACTCTAGTATTTCGCCAATTTGTAAATCCATAACTTTAACTTGGTTTAAATAATCCGTGGA